TCTCCCTAACCTAATTGAATAACTGGTGTGAATGCTTCACAATACAAGAAAAAGTATTTTTCCCTGTCATTTCTCAGTAATTTCAAAGTAATATGTGCTTTATTCCTACTCAAGAATGTGATTGTTGCCACATCCTGAGTGCCATGCTGAGAAACAGATGTCTCTGTAAGAAATATGTGGTTTTGATTAAGAAGGTCTAGAATATTCACAGGTTATATTCATGCTTTCATTGCAGTGCAGTGATAAAGAACTATCAGCAAGTCTTGGCCTTCTGGTTTGCTGTGAAGGAGGTCAGTGGAAATCCAAGGCTCTTGGCTAATGTAACAATGAGATTCCACATCTATGACAGCTACTTCAATGACAACTTAACCTTTCAGACAACCCTGAATCTCCTCTATAGCCTGAAAACAATTCTACCATATTACAAATGTGATTCAGAGAAAAATCTGGTAGCCATCATTGGGGCACTTCACTCAGAAACTTCCTTTCATATGGCAACTATGTCAAAGATCTATAAAATTCCACAGGTAGGGAAATGTATATATGTACACTGACTTTCATAACTCTTGTATCCTTCCCTTTGCCCTGTTCAAAGGATAATATGAACATGAGTGAGTACTGTATGTGAAGGACAGAGAGAGAAAATAAGAGTTTCATACTACAGAGGCTTCATCCAATGATACAGCTGAGTAAGTTTGTCTTACATCCCCCCCATTTAGAAACCCTTGTTTCTTATTTAGAAATCAGCATGATTTTGCTCTAGAAATGACTCATATATGAAGTACTATATATTTGCCTTGTTTTTTTAAAAAAATAAGGCAAACATATAGTACTTTATATGTAAGTCATTTCTAAGAAACATTTCGTATTGAATAGAATTATTCCGAGGCTGAAACGCATTTTATCAGTCCAGCTAGTGATGTTGGAGTTATATACAGATGTCCTTATCACATACTGCAGTTATATAGGGGCCTCTTGTTTCAGAACCTTAGATTTCAGCTCTAAAATCCAGTCTAAACCATACCACTTATATGACATTTCTGAAGTTACCAGAAGCCATTATAGCTGTATACAAAAATGATTATTTTATATTAATAATAATATTAATAATAATTATTATTAAAGTACATGGAGACAAAACCGTAGCTTTATATATAGAACTGTAAAATGCAGTTGAAGATGATAATACCTCCATTCCACATTGTGGTCCTCTGCCAATTTATAGCATTGAAGAACTGCAACTCACCTCATTTGTCCCTTTCCTCTCCTACTTTCTGAAATTCCTTTCTCCTTTAGGCGGCCCAAAATTACATATTTAAAGTAGGAAGTCAAGGAGTAATCGGAATAACAGGCAAGTTTGGCCTTGGAGTACAAAA